TTGCTTCGGCGTTCGGTGTTGTTCTTTTCGCCACCTGTGGTTTTCATAGGGTGCGATCACAACCGGGAGATGGTTTTGCAAACAAACGGAGAACGTGACCCTTGCGTTGCGCAAAGGATTCGTTGAGGTRACCCGGGTCGGGAGGGGGTGAGCCCGTTGGCCGCAAGCGTGGGTTGCGGTYGGTGATCGGCCCATGRAGGAGGCCGATCGAAAGCACAACGCCAATAGCATCGCGGCATCCACGTTCTTTCGAAATCTKGTCCAATGCTCACGGTATGAATCCTCAGTCATTCGTGTGCAACCGCTTCCGTGGCAGMGTTCATGGAAACCCCGGCTACACCTCCAAGGGAAAACTTCACATCAATCGCACTCCTTCTCGTTCCTGACCTGACCTGTCCTGTCCTCCAACAACAAAACTACAACGTTCTATCGCCAAAACATAASGATTGCGGAGCGATCGATTCTTTGGCGGAGGCCAGTATGGACTCTAGCTGCAGTTTTCYGGGTTGCTCCTGCTTCTCGTATTGAAATATACAGCTGAGCTGCATTTAGAACCAAGGGGTGAGTTTCTCTTCATGGTAYTCAATATTCCTTATAGTCTCCATATCCAASRTCAGCTCATATTCCTATTCCCAGTTGATACAATGTGTTTCAGCAAGGCGTTCTTGTACCGCTCGAAGGTGCCCAGAGCTCTCGTGCTTCGYGGTCTTTCTCGTCTTGGCAGACTTCTTCTTCCTGTCTACTTCTAATGCATAGTCTTCGTGATTCTCTTACTCAAAATTTGAGGTCATCGACCTCTTCGCATTTTTCTTCATCCTGGTCTTCGCGTCTTCGTTGCAATCTTCCACCGTGGGTGTATTTATACAAGAGGGACAGCTCGGGCTACTTCTCAYCGTGCTTGACTAATTGAATAAAACTGCCAAACGGTCGCTCGACGATTCGTATTTTTTCCYTGGACAGCAATTCGCTCAGAAGAAAGCTAGTGGATATCTGGGAATGGCGATTCTTTTGCATAACATTAGCTTTTGACATTTCTTTCCTTTGGGCCAGCAACGTCAATAGCTGTCGCCGTGCTTCACTCCACGCCTTGAGAACAATGCCCCACTGGGGAAGCCAAAGAAAGTAGGACTCTTCCTTTCCGCTGCTGCCCAGGGTTTGCCTCGAGTCTCGTATCAAGAACTGCGCAGTCAGCAAGTAATGCACTGCGTCTTTCAGATTTGTGTCCTTCTTCGAAAGAATGCTGCTTGGGTGTTTTTTGTCCCATCGGTCATCTAGTTGTGACTCAGAAATTGTCGTCTTTGTCCAAAAAGGGAGACCGGAGAGAAACCACGAAACAATTTCCCCCGACAAACCTRATGCCCGCGTCGTCGTGGTCGAGTTCGGGTCGTCGCTGCCGTGCGCATGCGCATCCCAAACAGCTCTCGCGTAGTGATCGGTCAAGATGAATGCCGCAGACGACATGTCGTGGCAATATATCCGTCGCAGCTTGTTGTACTGGATCAAATCCAACAGTTCGGTGTTCACATTTGACGCATGGTTTTCGTCGAACACAGAATATATCTGGTTTTCCAGGACGACCTGGACGGAACCATTGTTTGCGATTGGCAGGTGAAGGCCCTGATCGGATTGAACCAGTGATCGTATAGCCATGAGTGTATCTGAWGGGATTTCTTCCTCTTCTTGTCCATCGTCGTATTGAAATGCTAACGAGGAATCGTCAACGTCGCGGGGTCTGCCGTTTCTATCAACACTCCTGTTGTTTCCTGTGCAAGGCGCATCAGAGGAATTTGTTCTGTATCGAAACGCTGGCAATCCGGCGGATAGTGCTGTTTGTGATRTATWTGATGACAWGAAGGTGGCAGGCCTCTTCACAATATCATGTTTTTGGATCCCACTGCGCTTCCGCTTCACCTTGATCTTTTTCAGGACGATTCGCTTCCYTTGCACTTTTCGTTCGCCGGCTTCGACCGATCCCCCCATCCCGGTATTTTTTCCGTTGCTGGTCTTCGATCTCTTGCTTTCGATATTCTATTATCTAGTAAGAAATCCTTGGAATAATGAGTTTGCAGGWATTGCGTGTTGCTGCTGTAGTCGGCGTCGATGGTTATGTTGCTTTTTGATTAGAATGATTGTATTGACAGGCAACATGAACCAAGCGATTACGAACGGTATGTGATATAACTGTGGCGTCGCACGGTCCGCGCGTGTACCAAGAATGTAACCAGAATTTTGTACCTGTTGAGGTCCGCGTTATTATGGCATAAAGAGTTTTTGTACTGTGGGTTAGAGTATATTGCTACAGTAAAGAAGGAAAAGAAAAAGAGAAGAAAATCCCACAAACAGAAAAGAAGAAATGTCAAGATGACCAGGGAACCTGGTTTGAGTTCTACCAGTTCCAGAAACTTTCTTGGGAAGGATCAAACTAAGGTGGGGGCTAGCTAAGGTGGGAAACACTGAAGAAATTCTGCCTCTTGATCTTTTTGGGAGTAAAAAAGATTACAATGAGAACAAGGATATCTCTGGAAAATAAAAGGACCTTAAACCCCCGGATGCAAATGCAAAGGAACAACCTCTCCATTTTTGGGAGATGTTAGGTTTCAAGAAAGTTGATGACCCTTCCAAAGACAGCAAAGAACAAAACCATGCTGACCCTAATGCAAGAGGACAAGGTTCTGGGAAATTAGGTGAGACCAATCAATCTGGGATAAGTACTGCTTCTACCAGAAAATAGTACCAAAAATCTCCACTGAAACAGAACACTGGAAAAGAAGACCAAAAACCTCCGTACAAAGATATTTATGAAGAAGCTTTAGGTATCAAGATTTCTGTAAATGACCCAATGGAAAACAACAACAACAATAACCTCCCAAATCACAACAAATACCAAAACCAATTCAATCCTACTGCAGGAGGACAGCAAGGTCCTGGCAAGTTTTGTGGGATCAGTTGTACATTAACCAGAAAAGATGACCAAAAACCTCAGACAAAACAGAAGACGGGGGGGGGGGAGAAAAACAACAAACTGCAGGTCAACAAGGTACCCTCAAGACACAGGGGGAGACAAAAATCAACAAACTGCAGGTCAACAAGGTACCCTCAAGACAGGGGAAACAAAAAACAGGGAACTGCAGCTCAACAAGGTCCCAGAAAAATTGATACTCCGGAAAGGGAAAAATAGCCCAAAATTTCCTTCAAAAGAGAACAGTACAAAGGGGGTGCCCATTGTTAGAAATAAGGAACAAGACAGACAACAATCTGCCCCTGACGGTGATGTAACAACAAGTGGTTGGCTGTAATAGGTGCAGCAAGAGGAAATTGTCAACTGAGGGTGTTTGTTGCACTAGTCAAGATCAAATTGGAGGATTGTACTATGACTTTTCTAAATTTAACAAAGACAACGAGTCCCAAAAAAAGGAGGAAGGGCACAGCATCATGAGGATTCAAGGTGAGGAAAATGAATCAGAAGCCAATAACAAATACAATGACTCCCAAAAACAAGAGAATGCCTCTCCTCTGAATTCACAAACGATGTTAAATCTGAAGAAGGCGTGCAGAAGATGTTTGGAAAATAACAAGGGATGTCCCGGGAAAGGGAAGGTTCATTGCAAGTTGTGTGTCTTGTGGGCACAATCAATTTGCAAATAATGCAAAGAGAACTATAGGCCAAAGAATAGAGTAGTAGATGCATGAGACAAGGACTGGTATGTGGCAAAAATTCCCATACAGAGATTATTCAGCTGAAACAAAAAAGAGGACTGATGACCCTGAATTATGTGTATATGATCCAAAGAAAAAAGTAGGAAGAAAAAAATTCCTTGACAAAGCCGCAAATGGTGCTGGAACTAAATGAGGACATAAAGAACTTGACAGTTGTCTCAGAAAAAATGAGAAAAGACTTGACAGGAGTGGTCTCAGAAAAATGAGTGGGGCCATTACAARTATGGGCAATTCAGTGAGTACTATGAGTCTTCAAGTTGCTGGGGYATTGAACAGTGTTGTAGAATCAAATCAACAGATTGCTACTTTCATTGTCAACGGAGAAAACAAGAAGCATAAAAATGATGACCCTTCCAATGATGAGTGCAAAGGGGAGTAGAACAGAGCAAGAAATTAGCCCCCCCCTGRTAGATCAATTCTGATTGACTTTTATGTATACCAACTTCAAGTAGTAACAAATAGTAAGAGAAATTGCATTACTCGAGATTTTAACTGAAAAGAAATTTATTAGCAAAGATAGTTCACCACATCACACAAACCGGATCTATGGTATTGCGCGTTTCACGCGGTTGACACCATCGAAGTTTCAGGGTCAACCCTTAGTCTTTCGTGATTGGATAATAGTTTAGAGAATTCACGCACAACTTCATATATCCAGAACATGTTTCCGAAAACAAGCATAATTTTACTTCCAAAGCATGAAAAAACTCATCCTCTGCTTGGAACTTAGCTTTGTTCTTTATCATGCCCCCCCTAAGCTAAAGGTATTCTGTCAAAACTGTCAGGGCTCAAGAGATTGGAAGAACCAGCGTCCCGTATTTTACAGTGCCAAGCAAGACAAAAAATCCGGCGTTATCACGTCACTGAAGCTACTCACTCATCTTAATCTCAGCAAGGATTGCTTCGAATATTACATGCATGTCGGGGATGGGACCCACGACTTCAGTTTGTCGTTGTTCAAAACTTCTAAGGAAAAGATCAGCGTTAGCCAGCGGTTTTGTGACCCCAAGTGACCACTATATCTCCTGCAAATCAGGTTTTAGAGAAGGATCTGTATTCTTAAGTCTCTAAAAGTAAATTTGGTTGAATTTGAGTTCACCC